AAAATACATTACGTCATTTTACATCGACTCGAGAGTCTTTTCTCTCACGCCGTTATACGTTGTACGTACACTGGAAGAACTTTGGAGGCAATACAACATTCTAAGTTGCCTGTTAGGAAACAAGTTGCTGAAGCTAGAATTTTTTTCAAAGTTGAACGAGATGTTCGAGTGTGCAGCTTTGGCAAATTCGAATTTCTTATAATAGAATCCCTTGAAAAAGACAGCCGCTGACCGCAACGCTGATAATTCGATGGCAGCTCTCTATTCAAGAGACGTTGCGTTGCACGATATGTAATCGCATCCGGGATAGAATAAGGCAAACGGGAATGCGTCTATTGTATTAGCGCTAGCCCGACAATCGCCCAACTCTCTTCCGTTAATTATCATGTATCCTATATCGTTACTCGACATTTACGATCGATCCGGCGCCGCGAGCAACGTGCACACGCCTGTTATAAGCGGTGGATGGCGGCCGATCGGGGGTCCAGCGAAACTTACTAGTCACAACAATATGGCGATCCCGCCGCGGTCTTCACTCTTCAGCCTCCGAAGCTCTTCCAGTGACTGACCGCGCTCAAGGTCCTATTCCCCCTTAATCGCCTTCCTTTTCGAGATCTTTCACTTGGTGGTTCACTTCCAATCGAAGAGACGGCGATCTCTGACGCATACTTGCGTACTGACGTGCGCCTGCCTGTACGTGCGCGATCGCAGAAGACGGCATTCCAACGTACCGGCACACAAGACTCGTATATGCGTAGTGCGTACTGTATACACTGACCCAAAGGTAACAAATGTCACGCAACCAACACCTGTACTGTACGAATCCAAGTAGCAGTTCGCATCGATAGCTCTTTCTCTAAGGCAGCACCTTTCGGTCTTTTCAAAGGCAAAATTTTGCTTCGATCTGTCAGATCACGCGGGTAGTTTACTTTATTTATGTTACCGCCAACAATTTTTTTTCTTAATATTCCTTTGAGATAGTGTCGAAGTGTCTGTCCATTTGAATTTACTGAAACATTAGTAAGCCGACGATAAAAAAAAAATACAATGACACGAATGTTTAAGATAAGTAAATTTTCTGATTTTTATGTCTCTTTGAGAGAGTATTGAAAGATAAAAAATGTGAACTCTTAACATGCCGCCACCGCACATACCTGATTTTCATCGCAATCTGATGTGGAATGATTTGGAAGATTCGTTTGTCTACACTGCAATGCGATGGGGCTTAAAAATATGCCGGCGGAAAGCACATTCCATAATTTCATTCGAACTGTGCATTAACGACTGGCTTCTTAAGGAGATCGACCTTTCCCAGGCAATCCGACGCCCGTTTCAATTTGCGATTGCAAAGGGCGATGATTAGTCTTGAGTCTTGACTGGTCTTGACCTCCTGAGGAAAGCTTTCGACATGAAATCAATTAGTAGATATTGATATTGAATACTTTCTATTAAATGTTAATGCGCACAAATTGCAGACAACATTTTATCGAGCTAATCTCGAGGCTTATAGAAAATTATTCGCTATTCAGAACTCAGTGGAATATTCGCGTATATGCATGTATTTAAAAAAGTACGATCGGATTATACGATCGAACACCGAATAACGGATTATTAACATCTGAATAAGATGTTTAGAGGATCTTAGAACGTCAGACACCGCAAAGTCTCGTTTTTTGTCATCAGGCTAAAATTTATATTCTTGTTATATAAATAATACGTAAATTTATATCATAGATGAAATTTAATTCTCAACGTTTTTTTTTTTTTTTTTTCTAAAATTAGTAAACGATATTCTTGAAACGTTTCATTTCGACTTAAAATCTGCATCACACTGGTGGAAAACCAGGTCACGTTTTGTCACGTTCGTGCCGAAAAAGAATCGCATTCGATCTGACTCGCAAAGTACGCTTAATGCATCCGATCGAGCGAGCTGCATTCCATCGCGCCAACTCGAACGGTGCATGCAGTAAAACCGCCTAAAGATGACTCGCCCCGTTTCAAGATCGACCGGTATCAACGAATTTAACAAAGTACGGCCTTTGAACGAGAGAGATTACGATGGAAGTGGTAAACCAGTTATGAATTATACGTTACGCGCGTTTATTAGAAGCAAATAGACATCGCACATCCTAGATCAGATCCCACGCTTATGAATCATCGCACGTGAACGTTTGAGAAAATCGATGCCGAGGAGGCGGTTATTGTTATTCGTATAGCGAGATCGATCGAGAGGAAGGCAGGCAGTTCGTTTGTGGAGTCAGGTCAGGCCGTGCTTGA